TATTTTGAGTCGAGAAAGAGCAAGAAAAGCATGAGAAACGAATTAGAACTCACAAAAAACATTCTGTAAAAAAGTTGAGAAATTTCAAACAAAAAAATTTCATCGAAAATTTCTTATGGAGTTGATCATCAAAAACTTTGAAAATTTCTGAAAAAAACACTTTGAAAAATATTGGTGGTTCCTGCTTTTCAAAGTTTAAGAATCGACATAAACTAGAAAAATCGTGCCACGAACTTATTTGGAGCCCGAGATAGGTCCCTAGCAATTCTATAAAAAAAAACAAAAAACAATTCCAAAACGATGGAATCGAACTCGAGACCTTCAGCTTACAAACCCTCGCCACTACCACTCGGCCACCTCACCACTGAAAACTAGAGAGTGCGCGGGGGTTGTGAACGGTGTTCACGAGAGGTTGCCAGGAGGCGATATCACAGAGGAAAGAGGGGCTTGCAATGGTTAAGAAAACTAACCGCTGTCAAAAAATGAGCAAATTCTCAACCCCTTTCTAAAACGACTTCCCTTGTAAGAATACTCACATTTCTGCACTGACATTGATCTTGAATACAGACTTGATTATTTCCACATTGTCTTTGACAACTGCCATTGTCTGGAACATACTGTTCAATGCAGTTACACCGGTCTCCCATACATGTCTCTGGTTGAGCATAATATCCCTGAAAGTTAGATTTAGATTGCGAGCTCTTGTTGTAAATAACTTACCGCTCTGCACTGACACTGGTCTTGAATACAGATTTGATTGTTTCCACACTGATTTTGACAGCCACTTCCGAATGAATCGACTGAGGGTTGCACACAATTACACTTATCAGAAACACAGGTCTCCGCTAGAACCAAATAGCCTGTTCTGCATTGGCAACGGTCTTGGATACACATTTGGTTCATTCCACATTGTCTGGTGTTGCATGGATCAATAGGTGAAATTCCGGTTTCTTGGATACAGTTGCACCGATCACCTAGACAACTTCCAGGCTGTTGGTAGTAGCCCTGAGAATGAATCTTTTTAGAAACTTTACGGAGTTTGAAAATCTTACCGGCCTACATTGGCACAAGTCCTGGATACAAATCTGATTGGTTCCACACTGAATATTCCCACAGTTTACATTTCCCATATTCGAGCATCTTCCATTAATAGCTCCTTGGTTGTTGGGACACTTGCATATTCCATCTATACACTGAGAGTTTCCTGTGCATATTGTGTTTGTTAGATCACACAGTTCTCCAGGTTCTGAGTAGGTGTTGATAGATACGCAGGTTCCGTTTTGTACGGTTTCTCCACCAGGACAAATGCATACGTTGTTGGCACAAACAGAGTTTCCAGTGCATAATATCGTTCCATCTTCACATGCACCTCCAGGAGCCGCTAAAACATAGAAAAATAATTTTTTCTAGAGTCCATCAGATTTACCCAGCTGGATAACCGATAAGGTTTCACTATTGACACACATCCCGTTGACTAGATCGTATCCAATGGGGCAGTTGATTCCAGATGCTGTAAGGAATTATTTAATTCTTCCTAATAAAAGTTTTTACACTTACCACTGACAACTCGGTTCACTTTCTTTCTACCACTGATTCCTTTGATATTTCTGGATCTCACTGGTGGATCGTATGGATAACACTCATCTACATCTGCGTCGTATTGATCCTGACACTGACAGAACGATGAAGAGCAAGTGGATCCTCCAGAGCATCCAGTAGACACTCCACACGGAGCACCAATTCGGGATTCATATCTAACACAAGTGTCTCCTTGTTTGAAGTAGTCGTCAGGACATTTGCAAATGAAGTTAGAACATGTAGAACCTCCTACACAGAATCCTTTGCGACAGGACTCGCCGGGTAGAGCAAGTGAAGAAACCACTAAAAATGGAAGAGTTGTGAGCATCCTGAACCATTTTTGTTCTTACCAGACATCCTTGGAACACATGAAAACGAAGATTGCACAAAGTTTCGACCACATTTGCATACATTTTTCAAACACTGCTTTTGACTCTCACAGTGATCGTCACGATAACAATATTCTCCGAGCTTCGCTTTTTTCTTTGGTGTGAAACGGAGAAGTTTTCGATGCACATCACTTACAAATCTCTTCTCTAAAGGATCATGCAGTTAGTTAATGGGTTAGTAGAAGAACATTCAAGCAGTTGAAAACTTGTTACTGTTAAGAAGAAGAATACTAACCTCTTGGGGATTTCACACATTTGTTTTCTTTCAGTATCAATGGTTCATTGCAAGTACAGAGACCATCGGCGCAGTGAGAATCCTTCTGACATCTTTCTCCGTATGCGCACGAAGTTCCTGGTTCAGCTGAAAAATATGCAAAATTAAATCTTCAAGTTTATAAAGATTAAACCCTTACCAAAAGTAATAGGAACACAAAATCCGTATCTAGAAATCGCGAGTCCTGGTTTACATTTGCACTCTCCTTTGACACATTGAGCTCCTGATGGACATTGGTTGGATGCCAAACACTTTGTGGCTAGAATCAAATTATTTTTTGAAGATTGAAGGTGTCAATAAATACCCTCAATCTGACTGACACACTCCTCTCCGTACAACTCAAGACCCTCCGGACAACGACAGAAACCATTAACACACGTTGAACAACTAATGCAGAAACTCAAATTATCACATGGATGCCCGGGTTTGGAAACTGAACAAAACATAAAAAATTGAAAGCCAAAAAATTAGTTAATCTTACGCTTCCATTTGTATTCGTAGTTGGGATTTGGAGTCACTTGGGGAGCTGGTTGAGGTGTTGATCCTAGTTTCATGGATATTCTAATAGGAGTTAAAGGAGCATGAGTAGTTGTAGTGGTAGTAGTTGTTTGTAACAGTGGGGTTGTTGTTGGGGTTACTGTAGTTGGAGCTACAGTAGTCGCCATACTTGTAGTAGCCGTTTTGGTTGTTGTAAAAGACTTGATCGGGTTGATAATCTTTTTGGTTTCCAACACTCTCAACTTTTCCACTATTTTTAGCCGTTGACATTTTCCTTGATACAAGGTATACTCTTCTTTACAGAAACACATTCCATGAACACATTCACTATTCCCACTGCATTCTTCACCATTCAAACAAGATGATAGGGGAGGAACAACAACTGAAACAAAACAACCCAAAGTTTACACAAAAAATCAGCACACGAACCTTTAATGCTGGCAACATTCTTCACACAAACACCATCACTCTCAAAAAAGGTTTCCGGGCAGGAGCAGTGTCCTTCTTTGCAAACTGCACCTCGTTGACAAAGTGATAGTTTATCACATTGCTCTCCGAGCTCTACTAGTTTGCTAGCTTTTTCTATTTTTCTCTCCTTGGGTTTTGCAACTCTTGGAATACACTGTGTCGACCCGAAAATTCTATATCCATCCTTGCAAATGCAAACATTCCGACGGCAGTGTGAATGAAGGATTTTGCAATGGTCATTTGTTGTACAGATATGACCAATGAGACCAGCTAAACAAGCGTAATATTTTGAAATGCACGGCACACAAAACAAAACAAAAAAACGTACAAAAACAAAAATAGTACACTTACATTTCACTTGAGATAGGGTTTCTGGTTCTGCAGGTTGCACAATGTTCGCGGAGCATTGTCCAGTAATATTGGTGAATCCTGATTTACAGGAGCAAACGTTTTCCTGGCAGAGCGCGTTTCTATCAGTACATCTATCATCACTAGTGCAAGTATGTCCCATTTGAACTAAAACTTTCAGCTTCGCTTGAAAACTTCGTTCGAATTTCGTTTAGCTTACCGTAACTTCTACATCTTCCATTAACTGAGAAAAGTCCTTCTGGACAGGAACACTTTCCAGAAGAACACGTTAGTCCTTCCCCACAATCGTCTCTGTTTGAACATGGACTTCCTTCAACGCCGATATTTTTCTTTACGCAGATATTATGCATTTGCTTATAGTCTGGTTGACATTGACAGACACCTTTGATACAAACAGACTGGCCAGTACAAATATCTTCAGGATTGCACAGGTATCCAGGAGTCACTGTAATTCCAGCCATTACTGTTAGGATTTGGACATCTAGAGATAAATTACTTACCTGTTTTTCGGAGAACACAGACATTCAGGCTTGCAGCATGACCAGGTGGACATTGACAACTGTTATCAGTGCATGTCGAGTTTCCAAGACACTGATCTTCCAAACTGCATGATCTTCCAATCTTCACTTTTTTTCTCTGCACGCACATTTTCTCTCGAATCATCATTTCGTTCACACAAGTACATCTATTAGACTTGCAAACCGAAAATCCGGTGCACGTGATGCTCTCAGAACAGTGCTCACCAGGAGCCGCGATTTGTTGAAGAACACATTTCTTATCAACGGCATTCATGTTCAGTGGACATTCACATCTTCCACGAGCGCAGTAGGATCCTCCAGCACAACGGGAAGTCACTTCGGTACAAAGATCACCCGGATAAACAAATGTGAAAGCTTTGCAAATCTGAAAATAAAGTTTTTTGAGATTCAGAAATTCGGTTTTTGAAGCTCACCCCATTGATAGCATTCTCGCCTCTGGGACAAGCACATTTCCTAGAATCTGTGTTACAATAGCTTCCACCATTGCATACGATTCCTTTTCCGCAGGTGTCTCCAGGTTTCGCTGAAAATTTCTCAGTTAGTTGGATTTTGAAACTCTCCCAAACCTGAAACTGGCTCTACACAAATCTTATTGATATCAACTTTTCCATCAGTGCAAGCACATTTCCCATTAATACAGACTGAATTGCCAACACACATTTCTCCCATAGTGCATCCGTAGCCTGGATGAGCCTTCAGCCGTTCTCGGCACTCTCCACCGATGACCATTTGAGATGCTTTGATGCATTCGCATTTATGAGTTTCCTCACTACAGTAACTATTCTCCACACATTCTTCTCCATTTCTACAAGACGTTCCTGGTCTTGCTGAAAAGAAAATTCCAGACTTTTTTTTTCAAAAAATCAAAGATTCAGGTTACCTGCTACTTGCTCAATGCAGACTCCGTTCCTTGGCGTTTTTCCCAACGGACAGACACAGATTCCAGCTACGCAAACTGATCCACCATCACATGTGACTCCAACTCGGACACATGCACTTCCAATCGGTACTAAAATTTTTCAATAACTTTGGATTATTAATTTGGCCACAAACCAGAGTTAGCTTCATCATCATCATCAATGTTATTATCATCATTTGTTAGTAGCTGGGGTGAGTTACGTGACTTTGCTTGACTTGCAAATCTCAGTCGGATTTTGCGGATGTTATTTAGTGCAGTGTTATAGGCAAGGGCAGCTGGAGGTGATTAGTTGGTTAATTGGGTGTTGGGTTAGTGGATGAAAAGACAAAAAATACATACCTGCACGATTCTGCTGACAATAACCATTGACCAGTGCCTGGTTGCTTGGACAAGTACATTTTCCATTGTAGCACACTGATCCTTTTGTACATTTTTCGTTGTTTTGGCAACTTCCATTTGGGTCACTTTCAACTGAAAAATAGATTCTTGAAATGTTAAATTTCATAATTGAAACTTACTAGCTCGGCACTGGCTATCCATAACGTAGAATCCAGGTGGACATTGACAAGTTCCACTCTGGCAGAAGCTTCCAAAGTTGCATTGAGCATTTGCGGAGCACGGTTGACCGATAGAGACTTGTTTAACACAACGACCAGCCACTTCAACCAGGCCAGATGGACAACCTAAAACACAAAGGTTTATAAAAATCATCATAGTTATCAAGTCTACCTTCAACACAAATTTCCTTATCAATAACTCGCTTGATTCCAGAACAAGATTGTGAGCATTTCAATCCATCGAACACCAACCCATTTGGACAACGACAAGTGTTCTTGTCGCATACCAATCCACCAAAAACGGCTTGACATTGAGAGGAGTAGATACAATCTTGTCCGGGTTGTTTTTCTAAACGTTCCACATAGAATTAAGCGCTTGAATTAAATTCCCTCACCTGGAAGGCATTCTCCAGTGACTCCAGAATAGACTTGTTTATCCGGACAATTTCTGCCACAGGTTCCATCAGCGGCCACTGGTAAATTGGGAGGACAAGTACAGGTTTGCATAAAACAAGTGGCATCCGGATAAGCCCCAGAACATTGTAGATTGTGGGAGCATCCTTTTCCTCCGGGTGGAATGACTTCTCTGCATTCTCCAATCTCACTAATGAAAATGTGTCCTCGTTCTTTGCAGTCGTTGTTGACAAATGTGCACCCGTTGCTGCTTTTTTTCATTCCATAAACACATTCACATCTGAAGAAATGCAAAAAGATGTCCCTAGTTCGTTTGAAAGTTACCTCATCTTCAAGCAATATGCTCCTGGCTCCAAAGCAGAGCACTGTTGAGAGTACTGACATGGCTCTCCAGGTTGTTGAACTGTCATACATACTCCAGCTTCACGAATGTACGTCTGACCAGTAGGACATGCGACGGAAGATTGGAGAGCTAAAATCGAATGGTTGAAAAATTATCTTTGCAAATAATAAATCAAGATGAAGCTCTTCTTTTCTACTTTCTTTGCCCTCCCAAAAAATTTGCGCGAAGATTTGATCTACTATAAAATTTGAATTTGGCACTTCTAAATTACAGTTTGAAAGAGTTTTTTTTCAATTTTTTAAAGAAAAAAATTAGGAAATGAAAATGTTAAAACAGTAAAATGGTTTCCATACCTGTGGAAGTGGCAATACAAGTTGTACCAGTGTTCAGTGCGCCTTTCACGCATTTACACACAGAATCGCAGATGGCAAGGGGATAACCGGCACATTGGTTGTCATAGGAGCATGTGAGATCTAAAATTTTATTGGAATGGTACACATTATATGGTTAATGTTACCTGGACCAATTTGGTAAGCTCTCGGACCATCGTAATTCCTTCTTCTATAAAAGTTTCCTCGGAACTCAGAACGATTGATTGTCCGGTGATCAGCCATAATTTCATTTTGCAGCATTATTTCTGGAATTTCAGAAATAAGCGATTTCCAAATTCAGTACAATACCTGGTAAAATCCATAATATCAGAACTAAGCGCATCTTGGAAAAATTCAGAGGTTCAAAAAGCGCCTCTTCTCAAAAATAAAAAGAAAAGAGCTGATAGCAAAACGATGGACGAAAGAATAAACGAGAATCATATGACAAGAGTGCTAGAGTTAAATTTTTCATTTTTCTTATGATTGATGGACGTGGTCCATGGCAGCCACGCATGACTCATAACCAACCTAAAGCGCCTGTTCTCACTTTTCGTCTTCTTGTCACCACTATACTTCATCATAACTTTCCGACACTAGCCTTTGGATTCAACATACCATTTCGAATAGGTGGGTGATGAGCAGCATGCTCGTTTGATACACAGGTTTGTTGAATAGCAACGAGACCAACTGGGCACACGCAATTCCGGTGAACATCACAATTAGCACCTGGGAAGCCTTTGTTGCATTGAATCGTGTCTTCACACCCGTGTTGGCCAGGGTAGATTACTGTAATTAGTAGTTAATGATTGCTGGCGAGTGAACGGTTGAGTAACTTGTGCATTTTGGGAGATTTGGTTTCTCGCATTGTACTAAATGAGATATTGTCATTTACGGTAGGAACTGTAGTAAAAGGACTCTGATAGCATTGTTCCGTGTTCGCTCTGACAGAAGCTATACTTGAACTTCAAGCTCAATCATCTCGGCTCTTTCAAAAGATATGAAATTAATGTTCACTGATAAATTATTTATAATGATATTAGCAATACTTTATCAGCTCACAGATTTTTTATATCGCTTATTGGAACCGTGATAATTGCGCTCAAAGTGGAAGCCTATGGGATATGGTAGTTTTTACAAAATGGAACTTTTTCTATGGAGGAGTTTCTGAAAAATTTATTTTGGATTTTATGGAAAATGTTTCATTTGTGTTCTTAATTGAAAGTTATTAATTTTATCCTCCTGAGTGAGAAACGAACATTCTCATATCAATAATCATTTCACTAAAATTTTTTTCGTTCAACGTTACTTTATTGCTGGTTTCGTAAATTTTTAAATTTTTGTAACTTTTTTAAATTTTTGTAACTCCAAAACGACTTTAACTTCATAAAGTCAACATTTTCTGTTTCTGTTGCCTGTCACCCTGATTAGGATTCATTTGTCAACAGATTATCCCTGTCCGCCATCATCAGTTTACTTATTTGGCTACTTGAATTTGACCGTGAAAAGAGAGATAGATGAGCCGTCGTCTTCCTTTTGGCCTTACCCGGTTTGCATTGACTGCCGACATCAACATGAGTGCTCAGGCACATACAAATCGAGAACGAAGAGCAAAACTCGCCGGGTCCGTGGCAATCGCCACCGCCACGGCATTGTTGTTTGAGTGTTTTACCTAAAATGAGAAAAAAGATGAGGGGCGAAGCAAAAAAGGAAATAAAACTATGAAAAAAAGAAGAGAGCAGGAGGTGAAGAAGATGAAGAAAGACGAAGATGGAGGAGAAAAGAAAAGGGGATGGGATGAAAATGGAGAATATAAATGTATTTTGGATGAGAGAGTGAGTCTCCTTCCTATATTTTTTTTTCATTCTCATTTTCTTCTCAAGTGTTTTGAAAATCTGACCTAACGAGGGAGAGTCAGCTCGTTTTCCCCTCTCTTCTCTTTTTATATCCGTTTTGCTTTTTCCTCTTACTCCGTTGTTGTTTTCATTCAACCACTTACTTTTTTCGGTGACACAGGCTCCATCAATGGCTTTGTAGAAGCCGGCACACATACAAATTTCATCGATGCACTCGGCATTGTCTGGAACACAGCGTCGTTTTTCATTCGTGAGACAAGGTTGGCCAATCAAGCCGCTTGTCTTTTTGACGGCATGCACTTCGTTCGTTATTATGGCTGAAAATATCATAAATTGCTTCAGTTATACTTTGTGAGTCGTGTAGCTTCCCCTAGACGTTTCTCAGATCGAAAAGAAAGTTAACAATTTATTTTTTTATGGCACTCACCTGTAATAGAATAAAATAGTAGCAGTCGAATCGTCATGATGTTTTTGGTACAACTGTCGGACTGTCGACCATCCGAATACCGCATCGTTTGTGTCTTTTGTGCCGCGCGGGGGGATCGGGCCTCCCTTCAATTGGTGCTGTTTTCTTTTCCGCTCTCCAGATTTGGCGTTATGTCGAAGAAGCGTTGTCAGTAGGCGAGACGGTTCTGTTTGATCACCTGAAATAATAACAACCCTGAGCACCCCCCACTCTGTGTCCATCAGCATTTCGCCGCAGAAGCTACTGGTCTAACCGATGACCAGTACTTTTGTCTGTGTGTATGATGGGGCGAAAATTGTAATGGCTGGCTCAGGGGTTGTCATTGTTGAATCAAGTCTAAAAATAGATGGATGTGTTTCAACATGTCGGCATTGTTCAGCAAAAAAAAACACTGTAGGATTACAGTATCCGTCATGGATATGTTTGAAAATGCAGAAGGGTTGTATTAGAAAGCTTGGAAAAATTAGTTTAATCAGAACAATTGTAGAATTTGCTTCAATGTCAACTTATGTTCAAAAGAAAAATGTATTTCCTTTAGTAGAAGCCCACCCAAGCCGTCAATTTCGAGCTCAATCATCTCTATGTGTGTTAAATCTATCCAAATTTTGTCAACTGATAAAAAATTTTTCATATTTATATTTATACCAATACTTTATCAGTTCACAAAATTTTAATATCTTTCGTAGGAACTGAGATAATTAAGCTCAAATTCACGGAAGGGTGGACTTATATTAGCGCAGGGCAAATGCTGTTGCTCAAAATTACTTTCAAGAACGTTGTAATTGAAAAATGTCTCCAATAATTTTGACAGTATTCCTAAGAACTTGCGAAAATTCGTTCAAACTGAATTCTAAATTTTTTGCTGCACCTCCCGTACAAAATTAAATTTTGATGAAGATTATGTGGACAGAAAAATTGCAAATTTGTCAAACAAAAACATTCGAAAATTGACACTTACTTGAACTTTGTTCAGAAGGTTTCAAAAAAATGAACCCTATAATTAACCATTCTTGAATTTTACAACTAAAAAAGGGAAAAGGGGTTTGTGACACTTACTGACAGGGGAAGTACCCAAAGTGAAATTTCGCTTTTTCTTAGATGTTGGTGGCAAAAAATGTCCCGTCGCTGGACTAGCACAAAACGGATAATATAAGGTGCCCTTAGGCAGATTGAGCAGAATGGTAAAACTTTTTGTGATTTTTCCGAAAAAGTGGGTCAAATCTATTCAAAAAATAAATTACTATAGATTGAAGATGAAACGACATACTAAACTGTATTTTGTAGCACGGATTACAGGCTACAAAAAACTTCATTACACCTTTATTCTATCTCTGCAAAGAATTTTACTATGATAGGAAATGTCCGATTGGTCCGATCGTATGAAATCAAAAAATGTCGATTTTCGAAAAAACACCTTTGGGAGACCATGTCTATCCGATTCCTTTTATGTCATAATGCACAACTGTAGTCTCAATTATATAGCTCACCGTTCATTTAAGAGAGATTTTTGAAAAAATAATTTTTTAAAGTCAATTCCATGTACCCCTATACATGGTATTTTTTAACATGTGAATTTTTTTTCGACAATGTTGACTTCTTGATCACGGTTTGAACATTTTCTGTCAAAAAATAACTAAACCAACTGAACATTTCATTCTCCGAGCGTTTATGTTGTATATGGAAAAATGCGTTTAAAAAATATCATGTGGGTACATGGAATTGACTTTAAAAATATTATTTTTTTCAAAAATCTCTCTTAAATGAACGGTGAGCTATATATTTGAGACTACAGTTGTGCATTATGACATAAAAGGAATCGGATAGACATGGTCTCCCAAAGGTGTTTTTTCGAAAATCGACATCTTTTGATTTCATACGATCGGACCATTCGGACATTTCCTATCATAGTAAATTTCTTTGCAGAGATAGAATAAAGATGTAATTAGATTTTTTGTAGCCTGTAATCTGTTCTACAAAAGACAGTTTAGTATATTTTTCTACCTTCAATCTGTACAAGGTTATGATTTTTTGAATGGACTTGACCCACTTTTTTGGAAAAATCACAAAAAGTTTTGCCATTCTGCTCAACCTGCCTATGGGCACCTTATATTATCCGTTTTGTGCTAGTCCAGCGACGAGACATTTTTTGCCACCAACATCTAAGAAAAAGCGAAATTTCACTTCGGGTACTTCCCCTGTGAGACGAAGAATGCGAGACTTTCAAATTCAGCTCACAACTTTTGAACTATTAGTGAACCCCTATTGGGAATGAGCACTTTCATCAAATCGTCATTTTCCACATTTTTCATTGAGAGATATACTGAATAAAATCTTGCTCAACCCTTCAAATTTCAAATGCAAAATTTGTTTTAAATTCGATATAATTATCTCGTTTTCTTCATTTTTCCCAACCAGTATCCCATTCTCTTGTATTAATCTTCAAGGATTCCTCTGCCACTTAATCACGTCATCCAATACTAACACAAAGGTTTGCACATGCACCTGTTTGATGAGCCTAGCAAACGCAATAACCGGCAGAGGTGTTACGTAATCTAGTCCCGGTTGAGGGACCATTGCGAGCTACTCGGACCGTTTACTTTTATTACCACTCCTCTCGCTCAACCATTTCTGCGTTTATGTTCTGGCGAGTTCGTTTGTGGTTCTGGTTTTGTCCTAAGTTAGTCACCGTTTTTTTGTTTACAATTACCAATACAAGCGCATATATACTTGTTAAAGTTTACTGTGCAGTTACTGCCATAAATGCTCTAATAGAAACTCACCCTATACATTAACTTTAAGCTTAATTATCACGGTTCTTTCAAAAGATATCAAAAAGTGGTCAATTGACAAAATGTTTATCATAATATCATCAACATTTTTTCAGTTGGTCAATATTTTATATGTTTCATGGCAACAAGATAATTGAGCTCAAAATGCACGTATAGAGTGGATTGCTATTAGAACATTTACGGTATTTTACATTTTTTTCGATTTTTCCTCAAAAAATCACATGTTTCGTCTTGAACTGGTTCACATTTCCCACAACAATTCCCAACAAAAACGAGACGCCCCATCGGTGTTAATGTACATCAATTGTGGTGTGGTGTCTCGGTTTTTCCCACCCACTCGGGGTGGATTATAAGAGAGACGTCTCGCCGGGACGACCCAAATGAATTTTTCACCGAAAAAAAATTATGTTAGCATTTGCCTTTTGTTCTTCCTTCCTCTTTTGCTTCCCATTTTAAATGTATATCTTTGAAAAAGGTACTGGACTTGCAAAACAATATTATTTGTGAGTCACTAGTAGTAAGAAGGGACCACCACATATAAACAACACAGTGAAGTCCTGACAACAGAACAAGTACGAAGAAAGAGAGACCTCTTCTTTTCTGTGTTAGCTCTCTGTGATGTTATTAGATTTGTAGGGTGTCAAAAGTTTCACTAAATTGGGACGTGTTTCAAGCGTAGAACAATTTGTACACGGCTGGTGTAACTTTGTAAAACCCATTGTTTGTTCAGTTAAAAAAACAAATGCATCTGAAAATGATGAATTCTGTATAAGGAAGTTTATATATTCACAATTTCATCGTTGAATATACCATATTTTCTTTAATAGAAGCCCACCCAACCCTTTAAATTTGAGCTCATTTATCTCGACTCCTTTGCAAGGTATCAAAGTTTTGTTAACTCATAAAATCTTTGTTGTAACATGATAAATAATTTATCAGTTGACAAATTTTTATATCTTTTACAGAAATCGAGATAATTGAACTCGATGTTGAAAGTTTGTGTGGGCTTCCATTAGAGGAAGTATGCCATTAAATTTAAGTTATGATCACCATATTTTTCTACAACGTTTTTTTTTTCTTTTCTCAATTCTCTGTTTATTATGATGACTGGGTTCTGCACCTCTTCAAAAAACTGCTCAATCATTTTTTACCTTTCATATAGTGTTTGCCTAAACCGTACCCTTTATACCAACACCTCCAACCACAAACATGATAAAAGAGAATGACGGACCCGACCCCGATGGAGTCATCGTTGAGATGTTTGTATAACCTACTTGCTCTGTCCCTTTTTTATCGATCCTTCTCAATATTACACCACCTAGTCTCGTGGGTGTGCGTGTGTGGACCACCACACACAGGAACTTTTTTCTCTTTTTTTCTACCCACTCCTGACATGCGGTAAAATCACTGGCCAGTACTCTCGAGACAGGTGTTCTTGTCATTCGGTGTCGTTTGTCCCATCCGACAACATTTGATGTGTTTTTGTGCTCGTTGTCGAGTCGTCTGTTTTATTCGTTTCCCTTTTTTTCGAGAAGTCGACACCTAATTATCTTAAAGCAGCTTGTTATGTTATTGAGAGAAATATCCGGGTTGTTTTTTATTGAAATTTTTAGCAGCGACGATGATTCAGTAGGCTCCATTTAGTATGTTAATTTTTCTTGTGAATAACAAACTAGTTACAAACGAGCTCTTGCATTTTTTTAATCCCATAATATTTTGTTTCCACCATCTGAAGGATATAAAAGCCATTCCGAGAAACATCTCACATCCGCTTGATTGAAACTTTTCTCGATTGATAAATGTTATAAACAGAAAGTGAAAAGATTTGCGTTGTAAATCCAGAAAATCACCTCAATCCGATCAAATCATGTTGTAGCTGTGTCTTCTTTCTCATCGCCTTTGGGTCCGGACGAGGGCACATGCCTCACACTAATGTTATTTTTCCACCAATCTATAAACATATCCCATCATTCTTCCCTGCCTCGGATCCTTCTCATCCTCTTCATTTTTCTCATATCTTTTCGATGGCGCCCTCGCAGTTTTCCCTTCTTTTCTTTTTTTTTCTTGCTCTCTTCTTCTTTTTTTCACCATTTCTTTTCTGATTATCACAAAACTTCTTGCTGGTCAGCTGTTTTGTGTGTCTCGGTGCCGAGCCCAAGTCAGCAGCAGCATCACCGCTGTTTCGGTTGTGTCGTCTTACCCATCCACACCGCATCTATTGTTCATATCTCTAATCCTTCGGTCGGGAAGGAGGTCCGTTGCTGATGCGTCGGGAAGGGGAGGCCCCACGAAGGTTTACACACACTAGCCCTCATATATTTCACTTCGGTAATTCGTTTTCTTTCGATGACACCGCTTTTTGCACGGCCCATCGTTTTTTATTTCGCGATATTTTATCACTAAATGCTTAGTTTGCAGGCTTGAAATTTGAAATTAAGCCAATTATGGCGTGAACAGTACTAAGTATTACTACTAGTAGAACGAAAAATAACAAAACTCGTGAGACGAGTCGTAAACAAATTTTTATGGACCACTTGTTCTCATTCTCATACTCATGAAAATTCCACTTTCGTCTTTTTTTCTTAAAATCAGTGCCTATTTTTGGTTGTTGCAATTTGAACATTTATCAAAAAACGTATGCGTCCAAACCAACTCATAACTTTGACTGAATGCCCATATCCCATCTGGACGACCCAAACAACTCCCCGGAGGTTCATTTACGAGAACGACCCTTAGAAAACGAAACAACTCTTTCTCAGATTTTTTGAAGAGCCCAATTGGCTCATAGTAGAAAACGAGAGGAAAAACGAGGACCTATTAGACGGGTTCTTTTTTCTCTGGACCCGTCCACTGCCGTCCCGTGCCCTCGCTTCCTAAACGAAGCCAATGAAACTGGCGAAACGTTTTGTGACTTTTTCCTTTTTTCTGAGTATCTGTCACTCTTTTTTGAACATGATTCTTCATTTCCATTCAATTCACACTCTCATTTTTAAGGCTTGAATTCTATATCAAAGTTGTGTAGTCCGAAAAAATTCAGCGCCACAAATTTGAACCATCTGGGTTTTTTTCTTTTCTCTCAAAAAATTAAAACAATTAGTCAATAGTTTTGATTAATAGCTTATCCTTTAACTATCCAATTATTCATTTGAATCAGTGGTTCGTCCGAAACATCTGGAGCTTATTGTGTTTTGATTTGTGTTCTTTAGTTTTCTCGCTTTCTGTTTCTCCCCTCCCACCTTTGTCATAATCATATGACAAATCGCCTCTCACTTAGATTTTTATACTTTTCACATGTTTTCTAAATCTAGAGCCAAAATCAAAATCAAGAGGGATGGGTAGTGGTCAGAGCATGAACCACAACCCAGGCGACATGATGGACCATCACCAGTACCCGGACATGAACATGATCTTCAAAGGAATTCCAAAGATGATTCAGGTAAATTTATCATTTTCTGCTTTTCCTCAAATTATTTTCATTTCAGGTGGCCGACGACATGCACAGAATGACGGACTATATAATGGATCTTCGTAATTTGACGATCGCAGTTCTCGGTATTTCTGTCATCGGTCTCATCTGCTTTCTTATTTTGAAGATAGTTCACAATAAGTCCTCCAAAAGAAAGAGACGCTCACGACAGGTGACTCTGAACAGAAAAGAGATGGAGGGTAATTAAAAAAGTCATGTTTTATAGATCGAAGAAGGATACCCGCCAGCCGCTCCAAGATACTACTACTCCTCGCAGTACGCTCCAGAACCATGGGATCGACCAAAGCACACCTACAGGTTGGTAGGAATTTTGAAAATGGATAACTGACAAAAATATTATATAAAATGTCTAGGAGAGAGCATGAAGATCATATTGATTGTTCCAGCCCATCTATCGAAGAGAAAAAACAGTTGGAGTGCAGAAACAGCAGTCCGGAATTCAAGGGAAACGGTTCAGTCAACTACAAGGTACGTGAATGTGAACTTAGATTGCGGTAGATTGTGAACTAAAAGAAACTGAGAAAATACGGAATCAAAAAAGTTTGGGGCAAAATATTATAGTCCTTTTTAAAATTTTCATTAAAAAAACAGTTTCAAACCTTGTGAACTAATTCTCAAAATCTTATGAGGTTTGAGTCTCAAAATCTCAGAATCTGAGAATCTCATGAATATAAGAAGGCTCGACACCTTGACCATCCATTCTTCATCAGTCGAAATGAGAGAGTGTAACTATTTTTCGAAATGTGTGATTGATGGTGTTCACTCATATACTCCCCCCTCCATCATTCACATTATTCAAATTCCAATCATCGAGTTGCCAAATCATTTTGTCATACACAAAGTTCTATTAAATCATGACAGATTTCTAATAAATTCAAATTATCATCAATTCATTTATTGATACAAAGCAAAAACAAGAGCAAAGTTGAGAGAGCAGAGGATAAAAAAGAAATTGGCGTAACTTAGATAAGAATACAATGAGACAAAAATCATGGCATAAAATAAAAGGGTTTCGAAGTGATTTTCAAATTCTGTGAATTTTTCGAAAATCGGTGAGCAATTCATGACGAATCAACATATGGCAGATCACCGACCACTAACTTGACGGGATCAAGTACTCTCTGGAAATGAGTTACTGTTTTTTAACAACTGATACGAGCAAACATAAATCTAGGGGAAGGAGAATGGAACGAAAAAAAATGGTTGGGAAAAAAGCGGAATGAATGGTCTCAGCCTGGATGGAGGAGATGATGGGGGGAGGTTTATATGGTTAGGCGGGTCAAAAATACTTATCACATTGGCAACAAATGGGTAGTAAGTACAAAAAATTTCAAGGACAACAAAGCTGACAAATTGACCACAAGGGAGAATCAAAAGTAGTTCTCCGAGTCAATTATTACCTTTGGCACGCTGGCGGTTGTTGCTGCTCGATGAGACATGTCGTTACCCAATGATGTCTTCTTTTCGATTTCAGGTGAAATTTCCGATGATTCATTGGTGTATGGCTGAAAAATGTGAAATTGAAAAACTGTTATAATATTCAGAGACAAAATTTTTAAAAGTATAATTTTACAAATCCGTTTCTAAGATTCTGGAACTTTCATGTTTTAAATTTGAAAATATTAAGGTGATGTGATTTTTAAGATTTCCATTTTTTGTGATTCAGAAATTTTAAGTTCATGAGACTCTAAGGTTTTGAGGCTCCGAATGTGAGAAATATCGAGATTCTGATAGTGTAAAATATTTAGAAACTGAAATCCTAAGATTATTCAGGTTCTGAGTTTTTGAAAGGTTCTCAGATTCATAGTTTTTGGAGCTCTGAAATTCAAAAATTTAAAAATTTAAAAATTTCGGGATTTCGAAATTCTGAGGAAATTTTAAATCT